TTCTCGGTTCACAAACAGCACCACAGATAATATCTTTCTTATCAAATATACCATTAAACAAATGCTACAGAAACAGTGCAACACATCAAAGTGGAGAATAATATCTGTAATTGTCACTATTTGGAATATTACTTTTTATATGGTTAACTTGTTGTCATGCTAACAATCCAACATTGTGATGTATTTACACATGAGTCCAGTTCTCTACTACAGCAGACAACTCATTTTAAACCAGGACAGTCTTCATCATGAGGAGGTGCTGAGTGGTTGAGATGTCTCACATATTATCAGTCAACATGAAAGCAAAGGCCACATATTCACAACGCAGGAGAGTGACCATGGATGTTGACCATTAAAATGAGCAGAGTTACTTACTCTGCCAAGAGAGCTGTAATTTGTGAATACATTACCCAGACAAATTAGTTGCTGCTTTAAGTGTGTCTTCCTTTTAGGATGCTCGGAGCACCTGAACCGTAACACCTCAAATAGACAAGCAACATATTTTAAGCAGGGACTAACTTGTCCTGGTTTTCACACATGACAGCTCACTGGACCCAAACATCCATGACTTGACCGCAGGAAGTAACTTGTTTCATTGTCAACATCTGTTTTCTCACAAATGTACTTGTGTGAGAGGTCTCAGCCACGGCACTGCCGAGTCTGACACTGCTGCACGTGAACACATGTGAGTACAATGAGTATAAATGGCTCCCTAAAGGTATAGTTCACCCAAAAATGAAAATTCAGTCATCTATTCACGTCTACACCGATGGAGGGGTGGATGAAGTGTTCAAATCCACAAAACACTTTTGGAGTGTCAGGGTTGCAGTCAAAGTGACCTCTTCTTCAGGCGTAATAAAACTGAAAAAAACATAACATGCCTCCATACTGCTCCTGTGTTGTCACCCAAGTGTCCGCATTCAGGGACTGTCGGAAATGCTAACGTCTACCACCAACGCCACTTCCTGTGGACATTTAGGCTAAACACAGTGTAAATGACGCCGTTCCGAGTCGAATATGAATGTCGAGGCTTGCTGACACTTGGATAACACCACACGAGCGGTGTGGAGGCTCATGTGTTTATTTATTCTGTTGTTTTATGAAGTCTGAAGAATTGCTCACCATTAACTACTTGTACTGTATTGGATTCTGCTGCAACAAATTTACCCATGATACTCCTAAAGTGTTTTGTGGACTCAAACACTTTCATCCACCCCTCTATCGGCATAGTGGTGAGTAGACGGTGAGTGAATTTAAATTTCTGGGTGATCTTAACTATAATTCTTTATTATTTTCTTTTCTTGATTGATGCTGCCCCCTTCTGACGCAAACTGGATTCTGTATTTCTGAAAAAAATAGAAAGGAAGCATGTGAACTTCCTTAGTATCCAAACAGAGTGTTTATAAAACAGTGAATATATAAATATATATAGTTTGACTAACTTAGGAGCTTGGTCACGTGTCTCTGGATGAAGAATGACCACTTCCTCCTCTTCGCTGTCAGATATTTCAACCACCTCTCCTATAAGATATAACAAATTCCCATCAAAACAAAACATACTGAATAATTATTTATTATTAGCTAAGATACATAAAATTTAAATGTTTGGGAGACTTCTTGAAGCTTTGCTTTCTTAACTTTTGTGAGTGTTAGTGTTTTTTCCTTGTTTATCTATGTAATGTTTACATGAAATCCAGATCAAACCGAAATTACCTGCTTTGAGCTGTTCTTTTTCATACTTTCCCTCTTCCATCTGTGATACTTTTCCCTCCTGTTCTTCAGCACTGTTGTCACTTCCCTCACTTTCATTCTCCTCCTCCTCCCCTTCCTCCTCCTCTTCCTCCAGGCCCCAGGTGTTCTGCAGCCCCTGCCCCACCTGCCCCACACCTGGGACTGGCACCACCGGGGATGGTACCCTGGTAAGTTGCGGTTAAGGAGCAGCAGTGGATTCAGGCCAAGCATCAGGGGGGAAAAGAATAATGGCACATATTTCATGGTTGATGTACTTCAGTTGTTACTCAGGCTAAGTTTAGGATACATCTGAGGTGGGACCTCAGCTTTCTGGACGATGTCATTTGCCCTCTCTGTCACGTCCATCATTTCCATTGGAGTCTCCTCCATTTTCAAAGCTGTGATTCGCTCCAGAGGAATAGACTCTGCAAAACCACACCTGCCACCCGCCTTCCTAGAAATGTTTAAAATTCAGAGTTATTATCTTCAACACCGGACTGTCCAGCATTTCATTTTTTAGCACAGAGCGGTGATGCCACTGTTCACCTGGCTTTCTTGTCATTTTCCAGGGCTTTGCCGATGAGCTCTGTGATTTCAGACACCTTGACGCTGGCGATTTTACTGCATCTCATGACCTTTAACACCAAATAGAAATATGAAGTGTATGATGGAGAGCTGCTTTCCCTGGAGTTAGTGAAACTCCACTTGAACACAAATGATCAACACGACGTCAACATTTCTGAAGACAACACAATACTAATACTTAGTCTGTTCACCTGGTCCTTTAGCAGCATGATGCCCCCGCTGGACTGGATGGAGCAGATTTCTCTGTGTTTGTTCATAGCGATCATCAGTAAGCCATCCATCACCCGCTCCTCTCGCTCACAGGGGTCCACCAGCAAATATGTTCTGTAGAATTAATTCATCATTTAACTTTTAAAAAAAAAATCAATATTACTTTTGTTCTAAAAGTGCAGCAAGCTGTGTTGTGTCTGCAGGTATTCATTTTTTTAGTCTCAGTGTTGGACACTA